ATGGGTGATGAATATAAACGCTTATTCGAAGATTCTGTACCGGCTGGTGGCCCTAGTAGATTCTTCCGTTTACGGTCAAGCCTTGTTTCGAATATATCGACAACATTTCCGCTGCTGGTCTGCGCTGAAAAGTTTGCTGTTGCCACTGTGAACCTGCCATAACCGTGATTGATTGATGAAATGGTGAAACACGCGCAACTCACCTCATCTCGGCGTCTGCCGCCTCGCCCTCCCGCACAAGCTTGTCCAGGAAGGCAGCGATCCCAACCGACTTGCCTACACCAGTCTCACCTATCAACCATCTATTATGTGACCAGAGTGATACCAGCAAGCCTACCAGAGAAGAAAATATTTGTACCATTCCTCGTGAGCGCATCTAGTGTCATCAACTGGCTCGTGGACTCTGTAGTCGGCACCAATATACTGAAGAACGGCATTCCTGGGGTGTACGTGAACGGCTCAACTCGATTTTCAATGTGCTCGAAGCAACCTGAAATGCGCCGTCGACGGCGGACCCCATTATAACCCCATCTCCTCGAGCTAGTACCCTTCTCTGGATCCACCGCTACAGAATATAAATCATCGAAATCCACCACGTCGGGACAGATGCTCTCGAAATGGGGTCTCATGAACTCCTAGGGAACCGGCGATGCCCCTCCCGACAATCGAGGCTGCATTACCAAGAACTCCCCTCGACTGGTTTCGTGCAGGTTACCACCGAGACTGCGGACAGCCGCCACGATCAAGTACATTCTCAACAACTTATCATTGGAGGCATCCGATCTCTTGGACGGCTTGATTGTCGGCTCCTCTTGTTCGGGCTCTAATGGCATCACCTACATCAATGTGTATTGGCATATCACCTATCAGGATCACCACACTGATACTCACTCTTTCAAAGCCGTTACTGTCGTTGACGAAGGAATCGCACAAGTCCATGAACGACCTAACAGGTTGCCTTCATCAGCATTCATCGGCCGTGCATGAGCTCACTTGCATAGATTAGCATCGACACTAGGAATACCCGGAGCCTCCTTCAGGTGAGAGCGTATGAACGGCAACGTGACATCGCATAGATCAACAACA